CTATCCGTTGAGGTGCCACAAGGGCAGTCTTTACGCCTCAATTCCTTTTCTTGTTTACGCGGCCGAGGTCCAACAATTTTTGCGTCTTCCTAATCAAAATGTGAAAAATTGTTTTTCATCCTTCCGCTGGCACCTACCACCGCACCCCCGCACCTCCGCGCTCAATCAACTTTGTTTTGATTGCAAAATGTGCGAGAGAGAATTTTGTTTTGTGCCTTTTTTTTAGAGGGTATTACGGGGATTTTCTTTCCTTTCCTTTTCTTGCTCTTTGGCAGCCGCAAATTCTACACATCCAAAGCTTAGGGTATTCCACGCCTCGACCCTCATTTCGGCAATTATTTTCCTATTGTTTTCTTTGGGGCTTTCGCCGATGCTTAATGGGTCTACATTTTTGTTTGGGGTCTCGCAACCTACGAAACTTTCCACAATGCAGTGGGCGGACGCGAGTCTATTTTCAGTGCACAATTTTAATGGCTCTCCTCACATTTGACATTTTGCAAAGATAAATAAATTGCAGCTTGTTGCAAGTGAAGTAAAACAAAAAGATTCGTTATGGATCTTAAAATCTGAATTTTGTTTTGGTTTTTGAGCATGGACAGACTTTGACCTTTCTGCCATTTAGCTAACAATTTTTAGCTGAATTATTTTTGTGTAAACTAATAACTTTGATGTCCACTTTAATGTCTTGTTTACTTGGTCTCCAGATTTTGTCTTTCTGGCTGTCAGTTCGCAGTGAAACTTGAGACTTTATGACGTTATTGATGGCTCTGAAATGGAATGATTTTGTGGATCTAATTTCTTAGATAAATGATTGGATTATTATTACGATTTTGCCTGTTCAGCACGTAAACCAGGAAACGTCAAGCTGTAAAGTCGTTGAAGGATGATCTACTCAGAGATTCAGCGATGTACAGCAGGCAGCCAAAATTCTGCCAATCAATCAGTACTTTTCCCTTCCATTTTCATTGCACACTTCCTGTTGTTGTTTTCTGGGAGTGTTCTTTTGCCCAGCCCTTTGCCAAAAACCCGGCAAACCCAGCTCTAACCCCTGAACCCACACACAGAAACAGAAACAAGCAACGAATACAAATCGTATCGGCTTTCGCCATTGCAAGTGTCTGCTCAGCCTGATCAAGGGCTTATCTCGCTGCGATCGATGGGATCGAGGCAGGCACAGCCACTGGCATTTGTCATGGGGATCAGTTCGGATGGGGGGAGCCTTGACCTGCAGCGATCTCGAGCACAAAGACAGACAGCAGCAGCGGCGTCGCTCATTGTTGTCATAAATTACACTTCAATTGTTGGCTCCAGAGCCTGGGATAGAAATTGGGCAGAGGGATAGAGCTAGAGCGAGGGCCTGCCATTTGCCATGTGCAATCAGTGCATTTTTGTCCGTCTCTTTTTATCTTTTTGTGTTGGGTTTACAAGTCCCTGTGCGAGCCCTGAGAAAAGTGTCAAAAATATCAAATGTCCTTTTGTAGACAGGTTCTGGCTCTGGCTCTGGCTCTGGCTCTGGCAACGCTTTCTTCACGCTCTGTGCATTTCTATGAGTGGTTTGCCTGTGTCTAGTATCTGGAGAGCTACCTGCCAGGCATAATTAATTTAATCATTGCTCATTGCACACATTGAGCAGCGACGAACAAAGAGCAAACTCTGTATTCTGCCATCCCTGTATCGCCGGCACAAGTGTCCCAGTCCATTGTGTGTTGAGGCATCCTTGTGACGTGCCCCAGACCCACGACAGGCCAGAGCCAGAGCCAGAGCCAGAGACAATCGCTCGCCCCACCCCACTCCCCGGCAGGCCATGACAAACAATATTCTGAAATGAAAGAACCTGAAGCTGAACCACGAACCCCCGAACCCCCGAACCCCCGAACCCCTGACCCTTCGAACCCTCAACGGCTGATTGAGCGCTGAGGTTTTTCTCGAGTTGATCTTCTTCATCCGCTTCGTCATCGTGCCCTCCTCCCTCCGCCGCATCTTTCGACTACTTCTCATCATCATCGTCATCCTCATCAACTCTTCATTTGTGTGACAAACAAAGACGCTGCTCGAGAGAGCTCAAGTCGCTAGACCTGAGTGAGCGAGAGAGAGAGAGAGAGAGGCTCAGGGATGGGCGTGCTGCATGATCGATCGTGTCCATTAGAGCCGTGAAGAACTTAGAACTTGTTGCTAATGATCAGGCAGGTTTTTTATGAGCAGATATACCGAAAGATGATGGAAATTTCATACCTGAAAGGAAAAAAAGAAAACTTAAGGTTTAATATTTGGTTTTAATGGTGCTAAAAATTAGTTAAAAAAAATATAAATTAATGAAGCAAGCAGAAAAATATTCCAATTTGATTTTTAAGTTTTCGAGGAATTTCAATTATTTTTGGAATATTTGTTGGTGGGTTTTCGGGTTTATTATGGTATAATTTAATTTACTCATTTATTTACGATTTATCCATAAATTTCCCGCTAAAATATCAAGCAAAACTCATGAGAATTTTGCATTAATCTCTGCAGAATCGCACACTTTGTGAGCAGTTACAGAGAAAAGTCCAAGAATAAGACTTAACATCAGTTTCCTTTTACATTCCCTCTCAGAGATAAGCTGAAAGCCAGAAGTGCATAATCCGATTTGTTATCCAACAATCTTATTTCTCGCTTCGCATTGCGTGACTATCGGGTTCAAGTCACGCGCACGCACACGCACACGCACACGCACTCATCACTGACGGCCAACGGTGTCCCACTGCGAGGGTTGAGATCGCCTGAGCGACGACAAACAGAAGACGAAGACGAAGACGACGACAAAGAAGAGACGAAAACGAAAACGAAGACGACGCCTGATCGACTGCTGGACAGACGTACAAACTGTGTGCGTGCCTACCAAGAAACGAATGAGCCTGGAGTGGGGGGTGGAGTTGGAGTGGGAGTAAGAGTAAGAGTCGGGGGTGGAGTGCGAGTGTTGGGTCTGGTGCCTGGCGTATTTTGGTAGTTAAATTGTGGGCCCATTGTCTCTCGCTCTCTCGCTGCTGGAACATGCATAAATTGTTGCTAATATCGGGTATCGATGGGACAAAGAATGGAACTCGGACTGGGACTGGTTTGCCACAGCTGGACCCTTGGCACCTTTGGGCCTATCCAGCCATACCTGAAACGTACCCCTGTCCTATGTGAGGTGTTCTTCCATGGAAAGAAATGAAGCAACATCTCATGGTGCGCACTTTGCATATAAATCATTTTTATGACTTGTTATTTTTCACTATTTATTTTACTCTTTCTCTGCTGCCTCGTTGTTTATCGAAGGAAAAACAAAGAAATATTTTTTTTTTCCTCTTTTATTTTTGTTGATTTTCATTGGGGTTTGCGCCGTGCCCCTCTCCCATCCGTATATCTGTAAATTACAACATTATTTAGCTCTGGCTGCCGATGCGGGATTGAATAATTGCCGGACTCCATCCGTTGAGGGTAGCGGGGGGTATCGTAATTAAAGGCAGACCCCAGACCCCAAATGTGAATTCTCATTGCCTCCTGCCGCGCCTTATATAGCCAGGTATCTATCTATCTATCTATCCATCCATCCATCTGTGTGTTTAATTAACAGCTTTTGACCTTGTCCAATCGTTTATAGACAATTGCCCTTCGTTGCCGGGGGAAATCCGCTTCGGTTTCGGACACATGGAAATGCTCCAGCCTAGAGTGAAAGATTTAAGAGATAATCCCTAAAAACTCGATTATTTATTAGGCAAATTAAATTAGTGAGAAATTAGTGGCCACTAAGGGCCTGTGGCTAGATTGTCACAAATCCAAGGGGTTCCGTGTATCAATCAGATAAACGATGGACTAAAATATGCCCACAGTAAAGGTTACAGCAAACAGAGAGACAAACAAAGATTTAGATACTAATCGGATGGTGATTAATTGCTTTAATTATTAATAATAAGTTTAAGAAGTTTTTCCTAAGAACTTTGGGCTGTTAATATTTAATTACAAAAGATTAAAAGTTGTGTAAGCAGCAAGAGCAAATTTGTGAAGGGCTAACAACTATTTACGGACTTGTATTTGTTTATTTTACGAATAAAAACATAATTAGATTAGATTAAAAAATGTTTAAAAATATATTTTGAGGGGAATATACTTTGAAACTGTCAAAAGTAATTTGTTTTCGCTTGAATTTGATCATCAAAATGCAATTCTTTGAGCTTAATATATTTTAAATTTGCATTAAAACTATTTCAGATTAAAAATAAATGTTTTTGATATTTGTATTAAATATTAACATTTCGAATTAAAGAAATTAACTCCAACTTAAATATTTTTAAAGTGTTTTATTTATTTTGTAAGTGTTTTATTTATTTTTAAGGTGTTTTATTTATTTTTTAAGTGTTTTATTTATTTTTAAGGTGTTTTAAAGTATTTTTTAAGGTATTTGGAGTACTTTTTTTTCGAATATAGGTATATAGGGAAATCAATTCTATTTAATTTCGAATTTTTTAATATTTAATTTAAGTTTTTTTAATAACCAAAATTTCTCCGAGTGCCCCCTCTCTCGCAGCAATTGATTGCTTCTGGAAAATGATTGCAAGTACTTTGTATACCCCTTTTCGTTGACGATTATTTCGTGTTTCAAATACCATTTAAGTTCCCTTAATGACTACTAAATAGTTATTAATCAGAAGCAAGTCCTGCCCCGACCCCGCCCTATTGCTAATGGAATTTACCAGCGCAGGCCTTATAAAATATTCAAAATCAATTTCCCCCCCACTCCATTAGGGTATGGCCTGCCTGGCCCTTGGATTTGAACAATTTGTTTACACTGCTTAACAATTTATGTGGCATTCAAGCAGTAAATGTCCCCGCGACCCAATATCGGGCCGCAGCAGCTCCTCCCAGTCCACTCTCAAAATCGCATAATCCACCACAAACAATGTGTTTTGGTGGAAAAGTCGGGGCCTGTTCGCCGGGCTGTTTGTTTCTTTTCTGTTTTGGAGTACAGAACTGTAATAAAAAGTGAATTCGAAATAAACAAAATGTTTGTAATATCAGAAATTTATTGCAATTGTAGGCCGAACCGGGGAACAGGCTAGTTGTGGGGCCGGAGCAGACTGGAGGAGCGATTTATAAAAAGAAAAACCAAAATTACGCGACTTGTTTAAATTCTGAAAAGCCATTAAACGCAGCTGGGGCCCCCGGACACGGACACGGACACGGACACAGTGCCGGGGCCAGAACCACAATTATCATGAACGCAATATACAGGCAGGCAGGCAGGCAGGCAGGCAGGCAGGATGGGGCATGGCAAACACTTTGACGCAAAAACTTAGATCGTTAAATATTTATAAACGAGCTGAGAAAACACTCTCACACACACACAGACAGACAGCAGCAGGCAGTTGCACAAGAAATTAGACAGTGGAAGGGACCAGCGAGGAAGCGGACATCAAGTGGACACCAGCTGGATACCCCCACAGGGAGAAAGAGAGAGAGAGAGAGAGACACGTCGGGGCTGTATATCAACACATCATAATCCCCTGGGGGAGACCAGGGGCCACCGACTGTTTATAAGGCTTAAGCTCCAGCCTAATATGGCTTTAATGAGCTGTCCAAAAGCCACCGCCTGGAGCTCACACAAAAAAAGGGGTGTCAAGATTTCCGCTTAAAGCATTTTTCTACTCAACCAAAAAATGTGCGGCAAACAAAAGATTTAGCAAACTTATTAAATGTTATTAAATAAAATGTTCATAGAAAATGACTTTGGGATAAAGAGATAAGCAAAATAGGGAAACATTTTTGAAGTGAAACAAAAACAGGCAAAATCCTTGGCATATTCATTGAGAGTTTTGAAGTTTAGGACGCCAAACAGACAATGAAAACGATTTTCAATTGTTGTAAAGAATTCATGCATCTAAAAGAAAGATTTAAATAAGTTAAAAAGTGTTTCCATTATTTCAAATAAAAATAGTTTACATTAAATAAATATTATTCCATGTGTAAATATGCAATCGAATCCAAATAAAATATATTTTGGCTTTAAAATAAATATTCAACAGTTTTGCACTTTCTCTCGCACTTGAAAATATTTTTAAAACGTATTAAATAGGTCAAAAAATATATTTTCCATTAAATTAATATTATTTCAACTTGAAAGAGTTGCTATAAATATATTTCCCATCAAAATAAAATATATTTCATATCATAAATAAATATTCATTAGTTTTCCACTCCCTTCCATCCTTAAAATTGTTTTAATCCCTGAAACCTGCACTCTAAATTCACTTAAGCATTGAACATTCTTTGCTGCTCTTTTCAAAGCTAAATAATTCAACGGACAGCATCGATTACGAGTTTGTTGCCAGTCTAATGAACGAACGTCCCTCCCACAAGCAAAATAAAAACCCAACGAAAAGCGCCAAAAACTGTTGTAAAAATCCACTTGCAAGCTGCAACTGAACCGTGTTTTATGTGCCTGAAGTGGAGCAGCAGCTGCGGGGCACTACAATGGTTTAATTAACATTAACGCTGACGCCAACTACTCATTGGCAATAGAGAAGCATTAAAAGGAATTTATTTTAAGGACCAAACAGGCAATAAATCACATTACATGTCGCCATAAAAACAAAAAGGCCAACAAAAAGCTCTTCCACTGCCACCCTTTTGTGTACGAGGCAGGGCCGGAGAGTGATTTGGTGCTGGCAGTAGAGGATGGCAATAAAATGGATGAAAATGTTTTGTATATCGAAAAATCAATGCATCAATTTGGGCAAAAGGAAAAGGGCTGCCATAGGGGGGCCTTTGAGTAGAAAAAGTAGTAAAAATTGTTTTGTTGTCGTATACTTTTTGATGTCCATAGTTTGTTGCCGCTTTTATTTTTGTTATCACGAGTGCCCCACCCCCCTAAAAGCATCGACATTAAGCCCGAGGATAGCACATCAAAAAACGTCTATTAATGGCGATTATGTGGCACATAAAAACGATGAAAACTAACTGCCATATAAGTAATGCGATTACAGCTCCCAACTCCTCCAACCGTACCTAATTGATGAGGATTTTGGATTTTATGCTTTTAATGCGACTGTTAAAATTCGCAGCTAAATCCGCAGAATTTATCCTTAATGCTGGGGAAGGTATTTAACAGCACATTGATGAGAGATTATTGTGGATGTGCGTGGCATGCAATTGGATTTGGATTTGCGTTTGCATTTATTACTTTGCCCCCATTGGGGGTACTTTAAACAATTATAGGAATATATTTGCGGACCATTCAGAGGCCTCATTTTGAACACTTTCTTTCGTTATTAATATTATCTATTTATTGTGGTTATTACTTTACTTTTTGGAAGACATTATTCCATGTGAAAAATGCTCTACTTGTGCTGCAAATCTATAAATCCTTTTACTCCTCACTGAAAAGTGAGTCTAAAAAAGTGTCCCGACACAGTCTCCGGACAGTGCCCCCGGGAGGGACTTTCGAAAGTTGTACAAGTACTATGAAGCGCTATAAATTTCATTGTGCTCCTCGTGTGCCCCAGTGCAACTTTCACCCGTTTAAGCAGCGTTTGGCAGTGCCAAGTAGAACATCAACATGACAAGTGTGGTCTGGGTTGGGTCTCGTTTGGATCTGGTTTTCAATGGTTAGTTTTCCACACATGTCTCTCTCTCTCTGTGAGCATAAAACTGACTGGCAGAAAAGGAAACACATTGATTTGGCATTTGAGCGCAAATTCATTGCAATAAAATCAGCGCTGGATAAAGTTTTTTTGAATGCCACTTTCAATATTTGTTTTTCGCACACCCCAGTGAGGACTGCTCCTTGCTTGCTGGCTGCCTGCTGTAGTGTCTGTGTTTGTTTTTGGTCCTGTTTTATTTGCCTTATATCCTGGCATACCCAGCGGCGGTGGCAATTGTAAAACGCGTTTTGTAATCGAAACTTTTAACGACTTGATGCGATTGGAAATTGTGTAATATTGAGGCACTAATACACACACCACTGCCGCAACGAGTGGAGGTCCTGGAGGGTCCTTCAGATTCTTTACTGCTTGCCTGTGGCACGCTACGTTTCGCTGAGCAGGGCACATCGGTTGATTGGGCAAAGAAGGGAAAAGGAAAAAATATATATAGAATACCAACTGCAATGGACATGTGTGCATGTACCAGACTGTATGTAGTATTTGATTTGCCGATGAGCCGTGAATGATTCGCTCGTTCGAGTGCCTTTCCTTTGATGTCAGCTGCTTAAGAGTTGGTTCAGTTCCTAATTATAACGATGATTAAGGGAACTGTTTGAGAGCTGCAGTTCCTGCAGAAGAAATGCCAGAAATCACTTTATTTCCAATACAAAATCTATGAGCTAAAGTCTGTGCATTCCCTGGGGCATCATGAGGGTTTTCCACCTGCCATATGCCCCCCAAGTAATCACTTTGCCCAAAAACAGCTCAGCTCAGAGCCATTCAGGAGATTACTTGGAGAACTTTCAGCCATTTGTATCTTATTTGTGAGATTTCCATTGACAATTTATGTACTTTTTCTGCTAAAAAGGGGCTTTACAGATTCGTCACAGTCTCTGTTATTTCCCTGCTCAAAGTGCTAATAAATTTCAACTTAATTTCCAAAATGTGCAACTAACACATAAAAAGCAAACACACACACACACACACGCACACACTCCAGAGACTTGCCGCAGCATAAGCCCCTCCTTGAGGCATTGTTCTTTGGTGCAAAAATGTCGGGTATGCTTTTTAGCATAAAACTTCAATTGAAATTGACATTTGAGTGGAAAGTAATTGCATGAGCATAAAAAAGGCGTTCACAGGGGCAGGGCAGGGCGTGTTTAATATATGATGGCTACTATTTTTAGGCATTAAATGCGATACCTCCCATCCCATCCCATCCCATCCCATCCCATCCATCCAGTTCGGGAAGTTCTGCTGAAGCTCATTATGCGCTCGTTTATATGCCGCATTTGTGAGCCCCGCTGCTGTGCCGTTGTTTTTTTTTTGCAAACTTTTGTGCACATTATGAGGGTCGGGTCGGGGTCTGGTGGGTCTCTGTGTGTGTTTTGGTTTCTCTTCTTCTGCTTTGCTTTTCCGCTACGCGGGGGCGGGGGGACTTACTTCTGGGTTCCGGGTTCTTGTCGCTTGGTTTTGCTTTTTTGTTTTTGTTTCTGTTTCTCTTTTTAAATTAAATGCCAATAAATTTGCATTTTGTGTTGTTGCTCTGCCCCCATCCCTCCCATAGCAATTGCTCTAAGTGCGGCGTTTGGTATACAACAACAACAACAAAAAAAAGTGTCATTTGCTTTGGGCACTCGTGCCTTCGATTTGCTTTACTTTCATTTCATTTTCGTTTGGTTTGGGGGTTGGCATAAAACTTTTTCAATTCCCAAACCCACACAACAGCAAAATGTCCAACTTTTACAATCGCAAATAAATGTTGTTAATTTGTTTTAATTTCGGGACACATTTATTTGCTAATTTCCAAACCGGACAAGGCCAACCCCAACCATTGGAAAATGGTTTTGAAATTCGATTCAGCGACTGCTGGAGTGGGAAAAATGGTAGCAAAAAAAAGGTTAATTTGATTAAAAATTAAATCAAATTTCGGTTTAAATACTATTTAAATAAATAAATAAATATTTTTACTTAATAATAATAATTATAAATAATTTAGCTCCCATTTATGGCCCAACCTTTCAAGTATCCCCACCCTCTGAATTCCCCCTCGCCACATCCGTTGAACCCGAAACATTTTCCACCTGCGGCAAGGCATTTGTGTGCCTTCCCTCCGCCATCATCTGCTGCAGCTGCTCGACATGGCTGGGCTGCAGTTGCTCCATGCAGCCGTAGTAGAGCACATCCGAGATCAGCTTTCGAGCGAGTACTCGCTGACGCTGCGAGAGCTCCTGGAACTGACTGCTCCAGGTGTGGGCCAAGGCCTCCGTTTCGCTGGGACAGGCTCTGCGCTCGGGGATCTGTTGATAGGTGGAGCAGGAATAGTTGGTAGCCACCGGCGAGGGACAGGAAGCAGGAGATGCCAGCGATTCCTCTTTAATGAGCCTGCGGCGCCTTTTGGGCGAAGTTATTTCATAGGCGGGATAGAAGAGCTGCAAAAAGGAGTCATGGAATAGCCGCTGGAAGAACATTTCGCTCCCATTACCTCCTCGCCATTCAACTCCAAGGCTGCTGCTCCACTATCGCTGGTTGCTCCTGGAACTGGCACAGCGGCATCATCCTCCTGCCCCGCGAGGAACCCCAGCAGTTCAAAGTACCACAAAGTGGACTCAAAGGGCTGCCCCTCCTCGATGCACTGCTCTCGCTTGCGCTGATCCCGCCGAAAATTGGTGCGAAACGAATTGATCTTCTTGACCACCAGCGAGCGATTGGCATGCGGCTCCACCTCGCGCAGCTTACCCACCAGCTGCTCATATCCGGCGGTCTTCATGGCCCGACTGCTGTACTGCGGACTACGCACCTTCCACACGGCGGGCAGCGATCGGTAGAGCAGCAGAAATTCTGTCCAAAATTGTCGGTCACGTGAGTTCATCTTCGCCTACTCCTTCGCTGCCTCTCTGCCCCTGCTGTACACCGCGAATACACGCACAATACTGAAACGCTCGAAATCGGACATGCACAATCTTGCATGCGCAAATCTCAAGCGAACAGAAGAGAGACAGAGTGAGAGAGAGCGTAGGGTGGGAGAGCGCGCGTTTGTGCAAACGTCAGCGCATTGATTGCGCTCCCGCTTCGTTTATTACAAGTGTTGGACCGGGGTGGGGGGCTGCGCAGGCTGGTGGCAATGGGTCGCCGCCACTCTCTTTCTCTCACTCTCTCATTTACTAGGATACCCTATGCTAGCAGAGTGGAAGGGTATGCCCAGTCAGGCACAAGGCAAAGACTTTTTCCATTACTTAGCGCCAAACTTTTACTTACTTCAATGGCAGCTATAAATATTTTTAATTTAAAATGTATAGCTATTTGCCAGTATTAATGGTCATCAATTGATCGACTACAATTTCTTGCTGGTCATTTTTTTCTCTCTGCATGCAATTTGCGCAAACAGCTGTTGTTTTTTCACTATGAACTACCCACCGGCAGCGGTGTTTGCTGCTCGCCTGACTGACAAAAGTATATTTTAATATTATGGTTGCAAATGCAAATGACGCCAAGTCATGAAAAATATTATTAAATATTCAGAAAGTGACGTAGGAAAACCAATATGCAGAAGTGTGGTTTTAATGGATAGATTACAGAACAGGGGGAAAGCCTTACAGAAAAATAAAATGCAATATTTTCTATAAGAAATTCTTTAATTTACAATTTTCGAAAGCAAATTAATTGCATTCCATAGAAACAATAAATCTGGTTCCATTCCACTGCTTGGGTTACATATTTTTATTAAAATGAATCAACACAAATCGAAGCAAATCGAATGCCTAGTGGAATAGTTCCCCGCCACAAAAAAATTTCTGGGCTATTCTTCTACCCCAAAAATATTAATAAAAATGTTTCCCTTCTGTTGCCGCTTTTATGTGACTTCTTGTCATAAGTAAATTTAAGCTGCAAAGTTATTTGGTCAATGCAAACAGAACGGAAAACAGAACGAAAGCGAAACAACTGCAACTTCTTCCCTCCCACTCGAACACATTGCTGCTGTCCGTTTCGTTTCGTTTCGTTTCGTTTTGTTCACATCGAGTAATTGAAATAACGTTATTTACATGACAAATGCCAAATATTTGCGAGGATACAAATATTGATGCCGCGAGCACATTTAAACATGAAAGCAAACAGACAGACAGAAGAGCACCCACAAGCAGGATGAAGACATTTCTGCACTTGCTTCAATTATGCGTAAGGAGAGAAGGAGGACAAAAGGCAAAAGGCAGGAATGGAATTGAAGTGAAACTAAAGCCTTTTGCAAATAGTTGTTAAAATATGTCAATAACCTTGCCATTTACTGTCCTCCTGCCATCCATCCCCAGCGAGCACTTGAGGGTTCCGAATCAATAGTGAGCCCGAGCAGCCAGCCAGCCCCCCAGCTTCAGCCTCGACCAGGGCATAGAATTTCGGACCGGACGGGGGCGGGGCGGGGCTGGAGAATAAGCGCAGAAAATGTTTAATTAAATTCCGGGACACATTTGGCATGTTACATTGCCATTTTGCCCTGCCCATTGCTCCAGAGTCGCCACTAACCACAGACTGTAGTCGTTGTCGCCGGAGTCCCGACCCGACCCGACCCGACCCCCAAACTGAAACAGAAATTGCAATAAAAATACCAAAACGTAGCAGAAATTAAGCAAAAGCAAATTATGTCGTTGCGCAAAGCTATTGACATTTTCCTTGTTTTCCACTTTTCCCATGTAGTTTTCCCTGCGGTTGAGGTCACCCCGGCATGGAGTGCTGCTGTGGCGGCTGTTCCCTTTGCTGTGCTGCATGCAGCTGAAAGAATATTCTGGCAAAAGGTTGCTCTTTGTTTTGGTTACACTTGCAAATTCTTTACTTCATTTGTTTTACTTTTAATTATTCAAGAAATAAACACAGAAATTTGTGACCATTTTGTAGACACTTTCAGTCAAAGATCTCGCCCGCTCTTAGCCCTTTTCGTGCCCATTTCCTGTAACACTTTTCATAAAACAAAATTAAAAGATAGTTTCCTTTTACGAGTAATCTTCCACCCTGAGACGACAAGTTTTACAACCCCAAAACGGGACATGATTTAGCTGCCACTTGATGTGGGGAGCGAGACCTGAGACCTGTCCGAGGGCACTGCAGCAGCGGACAGACCGGACTCTGGACTCTGGACGCCCTGCAATCAAATGAACGGGCAAATTGCTCGTTTCGGTTGCCCCTAACTCATCTTTGTACATAAAATGTTATGGCCAGAAGTTACTTCTGGGTTTCTTTTTGCTTTTTTTCTTTCTTCTTGAGACCCAAGAGGGTGCCTGGCTATGGGCATTTAGGTTAAAGTTTTACGATCCAACACACATCCACCAAGGTCCACTCTTAATGATTGATAAACCGCACGGGACCAATCAACACCAACACAGAGAGAGAGACAGAGAGAGAGAGAGAGAGAGTTCTATGCAAACTGAAAAATCATCTCTCTGGGCAGCTCTCTTCTCCCTACACCCAAAAACCACTCTTTAAGTTGCACATCAAATTGGCTAAATTGTCGTGAGGCGGAGGCCTGCTGTTGTTTGAGGCAAAACCATCTTGATCCGGGCACTCTCCCTCCCCCTTTCCACAAGTGCTGTTCCAGGGTATACCAGTTTCTTTATTACACAAAAAAAAAGGGGCTTGGGTCAAAGCAACAACCACAACAACGCGGTCGTAAAAGAAAACAATATTGTAAATAAAGTTTAGACTTTAAGCCAAAACTCGTTTCGAACAAACGAAAACGACAAAGCGACCAAGCGACCGACCAACATTCGTGACTCCCTGTGATTGTTGTTGTTGTCTGTTGTCTGTTGCCTCTTTGGTCTTTGATGACTTTTTAACAAAAGTCTCTCGATGCTGCCGCTGCAATCGCTGCTGCCGATTTTTACTTTGTTTCGTAGCTTGCCCTTTTGCACAGAGAGTACTCGGCGACGGGCTGTAGGTTTGCACAAGGATTAAGAACAGCTCAAAAGTGGCAGAGGCAGGAGGCAGGATTATGAAAGATTTGTGCCAGCAGAACATTCATTTTCTCATTCCCAAATGTGCAATTGGATAAACTATATTTAACACACAACAATTGCAATAAAGCTGCCAAAAATGTAAGACAAAATCCAAGGAAAAAGGAAAAAGGTGTGCGGGAATGCTAAGTAATTTGTAAAGAAATCTTCGAGCAAGAACTTTCATTGTAAGTCCCAGAATTGAAGACTTCACCTTCAATGGTGAAGGATTCTTCCAGAAAATTAACATTAAAGCAAGCAGCAATTATGGCTTGTTTGTTGAGCCACAAATTGGTAATCCTTTAGAGCAAGTTTTGCTATTTTTTCTCAGCTTAATTTAACTCTCTCCCCAGCGGTTTTGTTAGAGCATTTGTCTGTCGCTGTTCTGCACTTAGTAGCAACTTTCTTGCTTTATTATAATTTTCTTTTCTTTTATTTTCCTCTTCTTTTTTTGTTGCTGTTTCTTTTTTGGTATTTTGATTTTGTTGTTTGTGTTTTTTTGTGTTACCATAAAAGCAGTTAAACCACAAACCACATCCATAGCCGCAAAACTTCTTGTTCAGCAGCAGCAGCAGCAACAAAACCAAGAGCCAGAAGCATAGTGGACTTTGGGACAGACTCTTTGTTGTTTGGCTGGCCGAACCACTTTGGCCTGTTGGTCTCTCGGTCTCTTGGTCTTTTTGGTGCTACACCGCGCCACACCAACACCGCTCTTGGTCTTGGCTGCCAAACACCATAAACATAAAACAAATCTATGACACGAAACAGGTCTTCGCAGAGGGAGAGAGATCTCCGATCCGAGTCGAGAGTCGAGAACTAACCTAGGTCTAGGAACTAGTTTTCAGCTGTCCGTTCTGATTTTTTGTTTTCTGTATATATTTTTTATTTTATGTTTTATGCACATGTTTATGGGGTTTGCAGATAAAAACTATTATGATTGGCGAAACGTGCAAGCAAACCGAAACAAAAAACAATCTTGACAGCTCTGGCGAGGATTGAGGGGATTGGGGGGGGGTTTATACCATTTGCACTCGAGCACACGACTCAATAGGTAAAAACCTCACGGCCTCAGACCGAGGAGTGTGTGGAGTGGAGTGGAGTGGAGTATGTTCGTGAAATTTATGCCCTGGCATAATTAACTCTGAAAATGATCTCATAAATTCATGTCGCGTTCTCGCTCTGATATTGTTTACAATTCATCTAAGGCACAGCTCCAGCTCCAGCTCCAGTTCCAGCTGTAGATCTCGTTTCGATGATGCTGCTGAAGTGGAGCACAGCTGAGTGCACTTGGGATACACTTGGGACATCTGTACCCGCGGGCCGACCAGTTTTGGGGAGCCATCCGGCCAGCTAGACAGCCTCTTTTGAAGAGCTTTCGAATGGTTCTCATTACCGTTTCCTGTTATGGCCAATCCTCTGCGATATGTCCAACAACAATCTGCGATCGCACATATTGTGTATCAAATGATCAAGATCTCTGGCAAGAGTGTGAAGCTGCCCTAACAAAATAAATGTTTTCATCTGGAAATCTTCCTTCTATTGCGGAATTCAATGATGGATCATCGTGCAGCTCAATGGGAAATTGTACATTTTGTAGAGCAAAAAGATGGAGAATAAAATTAAATTATAAATTCTGGCAAGGAAATAAACCATAAGCAGTATAGGGATAATATTTTCTATATTTTTAATTGTTTTTGTAAGCTGTTGGTAGATGTTTTCATTAAGAAAAACACCATTGATTGTTGAATGCATTCAAATGAATTTTCTAGCAATTTCTTGGCTCGCAGCTGTACCTAAAATAATCAATACAATTTCTGTGGCTGTAACACTTTTCCTACAGCTCAAACGGTGCCAAAAACTGTGCGTTTTATATTGGTTATTTCTTACAGAAATGTAACCCCCTTGCCAATCAAGCGGAAAACGTTAACCTGAGGAATGC